CCATGGAATACGTGTTAAGCGTGTGGGGTATACAGGAATTGTTTTCTAAAGGTGCGGTCAGTCAGGAGCTACTCGCGTTTTTCTGTCACTTCAATTGGATTTCGGATTTAGTTTGCGGCACCGCTGAGGCGATGTTCGATTCGTTTCATCCGGGTTCAATACAAAAGGAGACTTTGAAAGTGCTTTTCGGACATTTCCCCGCCGGAACGTCGACAAAGAACATGGCCCGGTACGGTCAGAGTATGAATAGTGATAGATTCCAAAAGTTCGATTACGGGAGTTCCAAAAATGTAAAAGTGTACGGGTCTGATGAACCTCCGTTGTACAATTTAAGTACAGTGAGTGCGCCGACGGTCATTCTGTACGGTGAGAACGACTATTTAGTTGATGTGAGAGATGTGAGTTGGTTGCTGGAGCGGCTGCCCAATGTAGTGGAGGCTGTTAGAGTGAGTGACCCGCTGTGGAACCACCTAGACGTGACGTACAGCCATATGACTAAACATAGTATATTTTCTAAAATTAATGATTATTTATTTAAATATAGTAATAGCTGATTCTATTCTAGAATTCAGGCTTCTTTATTATGTCCGGATAAAAAATGGGAAGATGAAAAAATTCCAAGTGTAGTGTAACAGTGTGGTCATTGCGTAAAGCCTATCGTGTAATATATAACTTTGAAACGAACATTACTTAATGACAAATGACTGCTAAAACCTTTTCGTTTATAGTTTCTAGACAATTATTTATATGATAAATATAAGATTGTATAATAAAATGTTTTTTTTTTAAATAAACATCTTGTAAGGATATCTCTCCGATAATATTAAATGGCTATACTTAACAAGTTAACAATGAGCTAAGGTCATTTAACTTGAGACCACTTAAGGCCTAACTTCAAGTTCAGTGTCGCGCGATAAGTTCAAACTTACTATTTCAACTTGTTTACATAAATATATTAACGATGTAAATGATTTTATATTTATACGTTATATTTATGTGATTTTTTCTTACTGTGAGTCACCATTGAATCGCTTTTATACAAATATTAGCTTTCGCATGCGACTCCGTCAGCGTAGAAAAAAAACAATAGTGAGAAGCCTTTTTGTTCTTCTAGACTATGCTTTACATTTATGCCGAATTTCATTAAAATCCGTTCAGCAGTTTAGGTTACAAACTCTACCAAACATCTATCCATCTAAAGTTTTGCATTTATAATATTACGAGCTGTTGCCCGAGACTTCGTCCGCGTGGTATTAGGAAACATACAAACTATATAAATTATAAAAAGCTACGTATCCCTCGGGAACCGGACATTTCTTGGAGATGAAGCTTATCCCATGGGTACTCCAGACTTTGTTTTATAACTGTGCCAAATTTCAATAAGATATGTTGAACCGTTGCAGAATGATCGAGTAAACATTAAAAAACTAAATTAATGAATCCCACGGGAACCGTAACTAATCCAGGGATAAAAAGTACCCTATGTGTTCTGCCAGATTATGCTCTAAACCTGTGCCAAATTTCATGGAGATCCGTTCAGCCGTTTAGGCTACAAACGCTAACAAACATCCATCCATCCATCCATCTAAACTTTCGCATTTATAATATTAGTAAGAAGTAAGATTGCTGTCCCTGTCTCTCTATCGCAGAATGGAGATAAAAATATGTGAACCTTTCTTCATTATCAGAAAAGCGCGAGAAGAGAATGCCGCCAGTTGTTTTACTCTTGCAGATTGTCTTGATAGATTATTCCCAACCGTCACCCTGCTCTGTCCTCACGTGGGAGTAAAAAGTTTCATTCGTCCCATCTTTAGCGTCAAGGGGACAGTTGGAACTTATTTTATTTACGGTTCCATCTGTCACCTTATTGGTGATCGTGGGACAAAAGGTGGGACGGATGAAACTTATTATTCCCACGTGGGGACAGGGTGTCGGTTGGGAAAATTGCGTCTTGACAACTGAGATAGTTAAACAATATTAACATGACCGACAAGGGCAGAATTTCTAGTCAAATCAGATATATTTTATTGCAGTTTATTTAAATACAGAATATCCAAATAAGGGCTAACCTTATCGAAGGTTTTTATGAAGTTAAAGTTCCGTGTCGTGTGACACAATAATAATTATCATTTATTATTCATTGAAAACCTTCAGTTGGAAAACAACTGATTCCATTTCCTCTGTATCTATAGACAGTTTTATATGTTAATATTACTTTCTTGAAAACATTCCGAAGGTTATATTGATTCGAAATACAAGATGAATAGTCTAATTGGGGGAATTGAACATTTACAAACTATTGCATAAAATGGAACATACTTAAGACTGTTTTATATGAAATTTTACTTAAGGCCAAATATTAAAACGATATTTGAATATGTCGCAACGTTTTATATGATTTTTGTCATATTATAACCAGCACTTGTAAAGCAAAGTATTTATAATCTGATTTAATATTCGGATGTGAGAGTAACAGTTGTTTTATTTCTATTTCCGGAGATCTTCTGATTGTAATTATTAGTATTGTGCAAGCGACGCACTGTACCATTGACAGATAACTTGCAACTAATGTTTCACACAATTGTCGCGTTTCCTTTGTATTTAAAAAATAAACGATTGAATTAGTAAGAATGTTTTATTAGAAACAGAATTTATTTAACTAAACTTGACCTAAGTTCTATCTGAATGTTGACTGACCTGTTTAACTATTAGTGTAGGAAAAATTGTGTTAACTGAACAGTTAACGGACTTTATAACAACAAATAAAACGGCAAACTGATTAAGTTAGTGCATTCTATAAATTAAATAAACTTTAAATTAAATATAAAATAACAATAAAATACGGAAGATGCATTTATTTATATGTACATAAATTTACATATATAACAAACTTAATATAAATAATTCTGTAGCATTTGATTTTGACCTTTATGTTTTATTATCATAATTCCTAAATCATCTAACTAAACACTAAACTACGTATCGAAAACAGGAAGAATTCACAATATAATATCAAATTTCAGACATCTATTTTAGTCTCGGAACGAATGTTTTGCAATTTTATTTAACAAAAACATTTATTCTTTAGTAACAATCATTTCTCATTCGTTATACCATTAAAAATGTCTGTTATGTGAGTCATTATCAGTAAATACATAGTAGATAGTTATGTACAGATGTTACATAATACGACAAAGAAACAAGTTCACTTGAACGATCTTGAACTCGACCTCAAACTGAACTTAACTTAACGGAATTACAAATACTTTGAATAAATACTAGGAATAGAATTAACCTATAGTGTAATACTTTTCCAATAAACGTATTAAAATACTTTTTTGGTAGGATTTGTAAAAGTTTATTTAGATTATTTAATCTGTGTACTCTCCTTAGTACATGTTGAAAACTTATAACAAGTAAACTACGTTAAGTGATCATTTAAAGAACAACAAATGTAAGGACATTATTAAAGTCCAAAAGTTACATACATAAATATTATGTATTACTATTAAATACAATTATCTTTTCGTGATACCCATAAATGAAAATTTAATAAGACAAATTTAAGTTTAGCAGTCAATCATTACTATATTGTAACAAATACTCACTAATTTTAGGAAATATAGTTTGTTTAGTCAAACTACTGTAGGTGACATCCAAGTGGTTCCAGAGCGGGTCGCTAACTTTAACCGCCTCGACCACGTTGGGCAGTTGACGCAACAACCAAGCAATGTCCTTCGTATCCACGAGGTGATCGCTCTCTCCGTACAGCACGGTCACGGGCAATGTCACAGCACTCAAGTTGTATTCAGGAGGACGAACACTTCCATATAATTCCAAATTTTTCAACT